GGATTTTCATTAGTCTCTCATCAGTCTCTGGCAAACCTGTCACATCTATGTTTAAGTTCTCTTATGTTAGCCATCCCTAAAATCACCTCATACCTCCATTCAGAGAATCGCCTGCCGAGCTTGGGAAGCAGTTTTGAGATTAGCATCAGAAAATACGTCTAGTAGTATAGGTCTCATTTCAAACGGCCACTTCGACTTGGGATCCTTCTCTGGTATGCTTCAGGAGGGAAGGAGCACCGCAGTGTGCAAGTCTTCTTTCTTTTTTTCTTTTTTTAATACGAGATAATCATTTTATCCACTAAGGTGTTCCTACCTGCTTAAGCTAACTTAAAAACTAGACTTGGTATCCTTACCTGGTTAGTTAAAAACTGGTATGTCACTACATTTTCACCGGATGAAGGTTGAGGAACAAAAAGAGCTGAGATGCAATCAGCATTGGCCCAATACAAATTTAGGAAAAGTGTGATATAAAGAAGAAATGTAGAGAACCATAAAAACTATTATTTTTTGCTTATTTATTTATTGAGTTTGAATTTTCCGCCGGAGAAGGTGTAGCTACATGGGATATCAAATACTATTATTAAATTGTTTTTGTCTGAAGCCGCTCCAGTTGTTTCGCTCCATTTTGTAATCATGGCGGAGAAAAATCTTCTAAAAACTTTATAGAAGCACGAGTAGCTAGTTTCCAATGTGGCATCTAAAAGAAAACGCTTAGCTAAAATATATCACGAGATGGAACACCTGCAGGGCAAGGCCTTACCTAAAGTAGTATCAAGAAAAGGTGCTTATGGTAGAAGAAGGAAAAAGGACGCAAGAAAAAGTTCATAATGTACACCTTCCACGGAAAGCGGGAAGATAAAACTAGGTTTCGATTGAAGAACCGCATACACCGAACCAGAGTCAAAATTATTTGCGAGAGCGGCATTCCTGTTGAGATCCTGGACCAAATCGTGTTGAACGGATTGAAGGCGGTCTTTGATTTGTTTTTCATATGCATCTCACTTCCGCACAAAAGCAGATGTTCATAACAGAAGTGCCACTTGCAGTAGCATTCTTCGCCCGCTACAATACAAGGGTGACCCCACATGAAGTGTGACGGGCAATAAAAAAATCAACTTATGGGCTTCTGGGCTGGAGGAAGCGGTGATCGCTTGGGTGGAAAGGAACGCGATGAGCGTCAGCTGAACCTTCCACAGGGTTGGGCACCAGCCCACAGCACAAAGGAGATGCTGCAATGTTGTGAAACCACGCTTCCGGGTTTTTGGGGCGAAGCAGTTTTGACCTTCAAATCCCCTGATCTCAATCCTTTGGATTTTGGTGCGTAGTCGATTCTGGAGCAAAAAGCCTGCGCTTTCAAACACAGGTCTTAGGAACCTCTGAAAGAAAGTGATCTTGTAGAAGCGTGGGACGAAAGTGATTGCGCGCATTCTTGAAAACTTCCGAAAGAGGTTGGAAGCTTGCATAAAAGCGAATGATGGTCATTTCGCTTGCGAGATGTGATATGTTGTTTACAATTTTGTGATGATTGTGTAGGGGTATTAGTTTCCTATTTGGTATGATCTGTATAATTTTGATGATAGTTTTCTGCGTCACACTTCATCTGGGTCACCCTGTAGTTACCCACCACTTCTGAAACGAACTGGCTATAAGCTAGGCGAGTAAGTTTGCGGATTGAACCCAACTTAAAAGCATCAGGTTTTGATGGCCACAGATTAAACGGGGGGGGGGGGGGAAAGGNGGGGGGGGGGGGGGGGAAAGGAAGGGCAGTTGGGGAAAATTACTAATTGTAAGAAACGAATGGTTCCAAACGGACACCCATCGTGACGTTTCAGAGCATGATGTGTTGCCAGTAGTCGCCGAACTTGGAACTCGAATTTCATCTTTTTTGCGATAGATGATCAATCCAACCATACAGTCGCGAGCGCTGCTCTCTCATCTTCAGTTGGTCTAGGGTTCTTGCATGGCAGTTGTGGCTTCTTCGTTTTTTACTCACTCCAGTCCAATCGCAGGCTAATTGAATTAAGTCCACCTCTATGAGTTTTGAATAGAGTTAGTACTTTCCGCTTAGAACATCATAGGCTTTTTAACTGTGCAGTATACCTTACCTTTGCTCCAACGGTTCTGGAGCACCATCAGTCGCAGAAGATGCTAGATGCAGGAAATCAAGCTTTCACAGCTTCACTCAAACTACCGTGATGGGCTAGGTCATTTCACAAGTTGAATATTTCTGATGCGTCACCCAACAACCAACACAGCCCTTGACTGGCTCTGTGCACTCCTCGGAGTTGAGAAACTCGGTTTTCCCCTCCTAGAATTCTTTTCTGTCCATCGCCGTTCAGGCGATATCATCGGCGTAAACGATGGTCTTCGGTGGTTCATCCGAAATTCCTTTTGTAGTGTTCCGCAGCATCAGTAGAAAGAAGAACGGAGCAAAAGGTTTGGGGTTGATTTCAGATATACGCCAACTATGGATTCTATTAGGCCGTAAGAAGCGCGTATAAACCACTGCATCATCGTACATGTCATTTCAAATGTTTTTCGTTCCCGAAGTGTTCTTCAGAGGACTATTCGAGAATAGGAGACGAAACCTCTATGAGATGAGGAAAGGAGATTCACCTGATCCAACTTATCTTGATACTTCTCCACCAATTGTCCAGCTGTAAAGTCCGCTACCTGAGTTGTCGACCTCCGTGGAAAGATCTCCTCCTAACTGATCAGCTGAAATCCCATATCTAAATCCTGACTTTATTAAGCGCCTATAGAGTTTCATTGTGTGCACAGATAACCAGATCCCTCACCAGTTATCACAATAGATAGTGCCTCCGTTGTGCTTGGAGGTAAAAACATAAATACCGCTGCTCGATAACACCGGAGATTCCGCATTCTGTGAGCACAGAACTCAGTAATTGGGCGAGCTGCTCAATCTTGTTGGTTCCACGAATCTTAAATTGGCATCTCTGACATCCAGTATACGCTCTCCCCCAACCCTCATTTCTTTTGCTCCTCCCACCTCAGCCTCCGTTCATAATGCAATCTGTCCAGCAGTTGACTTTACCTATAAGCTGTGTTTCACACTTAAATTCCTCGTTTAGGAGCTCACTCAAGTGTTCTTGTCATCTGTGGTTGACCTAAACTGGCTTTTCTCAATTTGCTACTTACGATTCACTATACGGACCCTACTGACCCTACTGACAATATCTTGAATTATATTTGAATTATAGAATTCCTTTTCCAATAGATCGAACTTTGAGTGCCGCAAGGTGTTCAAATCAACCTTACACATTCGTGATCAGAAACAGTGATGATACCACTGCGTCTGATCCTATTCAAGCGCGTAGAAGCATCACGAAATGCCTAATCAAAGCCGAGAATAGCATCTCGCATTTTCTCGTGCCGCTATCACTACATATCATTCAACCTTATCCTAGCGAATAAACTTTGTTGGTAGTGCAGGCTCGGATCCAGGAGTGTTTTGCTCAAGTTCCCCCATACGACTTGGAGCTATGGGAAATGAATCGTGATCATCCATCATCTAAAATAATGCGAAAAAATTGATATCGTTTAGGCTCTATTTAGAAAAATAGGGAAGACACTATGGAACTTTCGTAGGAATCTCATGGATTCGTTCACGGATCAGCCCTCATTGCCATAACACGCGAGCTAGCTAGCTCGAGCAATTTTTCAAACTTTTAATCATAGGCATGAGCATAGGCACATTGTGAAAACCGTTTGCAGGCCCTGCCAGTCCTCTGCCAAATTTCGTGTTCCAAAAAGTAACATTTGTTTCTAATAAGGAGCGGCCGGCGTGTTTATAAGTACAACTCCGTCGAAAGAATTAGTGAAGACCGGCGTTAGCTTGGCGACCCGGCCTGTTGGAAGATAATGCACAATATGTGGATGACGATGTTATTGCGAGAGTGAACGGCGGATTCTACTGGATGTGTATTACATGCATCAATCCTGCGGAAGGCAATAACATAAACCTAAGCCGTTGAGAGTTGTCAAATCCTACGAAAAAAGACGCCAGCTCTCTCTAAACGATGTTACTCTCAAAAGACAACACCTGGTCAGCAAAACACGACACTCTCTTAGCCATCAAAATGGGCAGTATCATAGTTCTTTGCGACATTGAAACCGCTTCTAGTCAGACTCCCACCCGGATGAGATTACATAAACCTCATAGCGGGTTTTGAAAATTCCTCGACCAAAAGAACGAGATAGACCACCCACTCAATATTGCCGAATACAGATGCAAAGAATACTTTTCGGAGTTGAATCGTCGTCAACCATCCTTGGAATCTCCTTGCTGACGTCACTAAGGTCAAAAACAATCCGCTTGCAGAATTTTCTGCCAAACTCTATATAGAAAATATTATTTACGGGCGTCTTCCGCGCGAGTAACCCCAATGAAGCATTTACAAATGTGATGGAGTGAATAAAAGCATACCAGCGAAATATCAAATTTTAAGTGGTGCCATCAAACTGATGTGTGTGGAATACGCAAAATATATACATAATATACACAAAAGCGGATAGATTCCACCTTTTTTCTATTACTCCAATGGGAGCATTTTATCCAAAAAAGATGTCGTCAGTTAACTGAAGTCTATGTATGATCCTATAAGCACCGCTGGCCTCCTTTCAAAGGGATTGCAACATCACATGAGGGAAATTGTGGTGACTAGGCGGAAGGGTGACGCCTTTTATGTAGTCAGAGAGATTGTTGTCTCTCTGATAAACGAACGAACATATAAACACGGTGGTTCAGTGGTATATATTTATTAGTTAGCAACCATACACCCTAAATGTGGGTCGTGTGCGAGACAAGTGAGTTACTTAAGCCCCGTCCCTAAGGAGCGGGGGTGACCGTGGGTTCTGGCCTATGCCAGAACACTCCTGCCAGCCACAATAAATTAGAATTTATTTACATATCGAAACCAAAAAAAAATTTTTTGTGATGTCAGCGCGTTGCCCACATCGTATCGTACTCATCGTCGTCGTCATGTGCAGGCCTGAGGCAACGACCACAAAAGCCGAGCCTCGCCACCTGCATGCTTTTTGTGCAACCGTCGCGGTGCAACCGCATCAGGAAAGCGGTTGCACCGCGACGTATTGTGTCCGTTGCGGTTATCTGCCACAGGGCAGAAAATACAAGAGGATCGCGGCTCTGATCGCTTCAGCAGTTCGTTGGCGGCTGCTTCGAGAGTGTGCAGACGCCCAACTACGTGCTCGAGGGCCGCCATAATATCAGCGTTAGTTGGAGACGAAGTCGATTCGGCCTGGTCGAGCATAGCGCTGACGTCTGACAGATCCATGTGCTGACTTGTGTCGGTGCTGTGCTTATATACACTTTTCACTCAAAAGAGAACCCCGTAGGGAAAATGTAAACATACAGTGAACATAAGTGTTTCAGAATTACCCTAAGAAGCTTAAGGAATGCTATATGTGAAGAGAATTTCTGGCGTTGGTTCGGCTTTTATCTACGGATCGACTATGTGTTTGAAGAAACCGACCGAGCAGAAGTGCATAACGCGCCACATGGAGCTGTGATACATCTAATTGCAGCATACAGAACTTTGAGTAGTACGATAATCGCTATTGGTCCGAATAAATAAATCAGACCGGTAACTACAGTACAGGCAACGGCAATGAATACAGCTGCTTCTCAGTGATCCCTGATTGTTGTGAGCAACGGCTTCAAATCAGGCAAATGAAATTGAGAAAAATCTAGCATACTTACTTGTCCTTCCTCAGAGTTGTGGAAAAATACTGAATCATTTGTGATTGGATGACAAAACAAGTGTCCTTCGAGGAGCATTTCACTTTTCGATTGGCCACATGCTATGTAACAAATATCCTTGATAGAGGCTTCATTGAAGTTCAAACTAAGCTCTGTAATTGTATTATCTGAGCTGCACTTAACAGTTGTGAAGTTGCTGCATTTGACTTCTGCAAATGATTCGTAATGTGAAATGCATGTAACATTGGTCTGCGCTCCATGTAGACAACCATAAGAAACTTTCAGCTCGCTCAACTGTGCAGTGCATTGGTTGTCGGTAACCAGTTCAGAGCTCTCTGTCATTATCTTGGATCTTACATATAGAGTTACTTCCTCAAATGAGTTTACCACAACGTCGTTGCCTTGAGTGTACATCTCTATAGTACCGGTCTTAAGCGGTAAGCGATTGGATTCTTCTGCACGTATATGACCGATCGAGTTTCTTCCGCATTCGCAAATGTGGGAGGAGATGTTCCAGGACTACAGCTGCATGCCATCTTGTTGTAGCATCTTTTAAAGTTTACTTGTGCTTCCTACCGTGTTGAGCATATNTTTACTCGAGGAGTGTTTGTGACTTTTTTGACGGGCTTGGATGGAGCGGGGAACTGAGAACTTCTTATTTCAAGGGGATAAAGCCTGTCTAATGGGCGATGGAGTATTTTTCTATTCGGTAGCAGTACCTTTGCTGATCTTATCAGATCATCAGCGCTCGAGAATATTTCGCAGACCTTTTCATAGGGCCAGCTGCCACGAGGCAGGAAACCATCACTAATGAGTACGATCTACCCGACTTCAGGGGCATTCCTAGAAACATGCCTTTTTTGTTTGAGATGTTGTTTCTGCGAATCTCCTTAGCAGAGCAGATACTCATTGCTCCACCTTTCCCAAAATTTGGTGGCAATTCTTTTAGAAGATTCCAACGCTTCTTTGGCCTGTTTTACTGTTTGAATCAAGTCTGGATCATACTCTTCGTCATCATTTGTAAGGGTATCAGGGCAAGGAAGTGAAAATTTCATGTTTCCTTGAAGGAAAACAACCGGTCTCAAAGGGATTTCGGAAATGTCCGTCAAATTTGTTTTCGTCAGAGGCCAAGTGTTAATGATAGCTTCTATTTTTGCCATTGCTGCGCTCATTTCGGTATAGGATAGTTTTCTACAACCGACACCTTTATTTAATCACTTTTCAACTGAACCAACCAGTCTTTCCCAAACACCGCCCATCCATGGACTTGCTGGTGGGTTGAAGATCCATCTGACACCGACAGAAGCACAGTATGACATCAAAGGGTTATCACTGTTGCTGTTTTCAAACATTTTTGAGATCATTTTCAAGCCGAGTTTGAAATTAGAGCCGCAATCGTTCCGCATTAGCGAAGGTACTACGCGTCTTGAGGCAAAACGGACAAATGAAACTGTTGAGAAATGCTCCTGTTGTCATGTTTTCTACAACTTCAAGGTGCACAGCGCGAGTAGTAAGGCAAGTGTAGAGACAGACATGCATTTTTTCTTTACTTTTTGTTATAAATCTACCTGTAAAGTCACAGGCTGTGTTAGCGAGGGGTCTGCTCGCTTTAACCCTATCATTCGGGGTGGTGGTATTTCTAAACCTTCGAAAGGTAACCCTTGCCGACGTTCGCAAACAGTGCAGTTGCCGATGATCTTTCTGATTAAGCTCGATGGGCGCGGCAGCCAGAATCGATTTCTTTGCAATGAAAGTGTATGCTCTTCACCACAGTGTGCATTAGATCTGTGTATGTCCTGCAAGACCAGTGTCGTGAAGGGTACATCGCGAGGTAAAAATACGGGTGAAACCGCGTCTAGGGTTAGCACCGAATTCTGTAGCCTCGATGCATGTCTAATGATCCCACCACGATCTCGTATGATTTTGTGATGATGGAATCGTTTTTGTAGCTCTTTGCGGTCTATTCCTTTATGAATTTGCTGTACTATTGTATTTTCTGCTGTTCGAATGTCATGGGCCGATCGATATGTGTGGGTCTACTTCGAACCTGTTTGCCCAGCATAGTTTGATGTGGACTACGTTTCTATCGTTGGTGCGATTGGCCCATTTGAAAAGGCACTTCCCTATTCTGGCTACTGTACGTAGCAATATTTTTATGGACGAAAAGCGACGTATGTTAATAAACGTTTCGTTTTGATCCTGACTGGATGCTGTGGCATTTGTCAGCTCAACGTGAACTGTATTGCTTTCATTTTCTTGAGCTGTAATTTGATCGACTGGCCTGACCAACGTTGCTGTCTTACTGTTCGACAGCCATTCATGGCCTTGGATCCACATATGGTCGCATATTCGTTTGGAGCTCAGTCCTCTGGCACCGGCATCGGCGGGGTTTAAGTTGGTTGGCACATGCATGAATTGCATGTTGCATTTCTTGTCTTCAAGGCTAGCTTCCGATGCCGTGATTCGTTCGCATTGGTTTGCTACGAATAGTGGCAATTGTCGGTTTGACTTCAACCAGCACAGTGCTATTTCGCTATCACTCACGATTGCTATTTCTCTATTGAGGTAATTATTCGTCTTGAGGATAGAACATCCAAGACGAAGAGCGATAAGTATTCCTAGAAGTTCCAACCTAGGAATGGTTTGTGGTGCTTTCTTTGGCGACAACTTGGTTTTTCCAGTTACAAGAGGGAAGTTGATTTGTCTTGAAAAACTATGTAGGAACATGTGGCTATAGCTTCCTTGCTTGCATCCGCAAAGACCCATAGACAAGCATCTTTAAGAGGTTTATTTTCTGCGCTGAGAACTCTTGGGATTGTTATCTCAGCGTTGTTGACTGCTGCACATAACGTATTCCATTTTTTGTGGAATTCTGTAAAGATGAGGTCATCCCAACTTGGATGCTTGATAAAGATTTCCCTCATTGAAGATTTCAGTCCAATTAATGGAGGACCAACAACACCTAGCGGGTCGTATACAGAGTCTATTTGGCTAACTATATCTCTCTCGAATATTTCGAAGTTTGTCTTTACGGTAAAGCGGTCGTTCTCTGTATCATAATGAACGCCAGGAAGTTTCATTTCTCCAGATGGAGCCCGGTCGTTTTTTGGTATGGCCATGTTGACATTGTTTGAGTTAGAAATGTACTCTCGGAGATTCATACCGATTTTTGAGAACAAGGTCTTCGATTCTTCGTATTTTCGAAGAGCCTGCCTTTCAGTTTGTGCTTGGAGTAGAATGTTGTCTACATATAGATTTCTACTTATTTCTGCTGATAACTCGGTCCCTTCCGAGCGTAAGAATGCTGGAAGCGCCATATTTAGTATACTAGGTGACGCAGTGATACCGAATGGTAAGCGATTGAAGCGGTATTCTATTATTCGACCTCATAATAGGCTTAGTGGTATCTTTTACCCAGAGAAAGCGGCATAAGTCTTTGTGCACGTCTTTAAGCCTAATCTGTGTGAACGCGGCCTCGATGTCGCAGAGTAACAAGTATTTACTGAAGCGACTTGAAATGAGGATGACATGGATTTTGTTCACGAGTGATTCGCCTTTGTGAATGACATCGTTCAACGAAAACTGTCCCATTCTCTTCTCTTAGATGAGGCATCAAATACTATTCTCAGGGGTGTTGCCTTGTGGGGCCGCCACACGGCTGAACGAGGCATGTAGTAGTGCCTACAGCATCTTGATCTTTTTCGAAAACTCGTTCGATGATTCCTTGGTTTTCGTAGTCGTTAAGGATCTTAGAATACCAGTACGCCTGGTGACTGTGCATTTTAACTAATTCTGAAGAGATGCCAGTCTAGCAACAGAATAGTTGTCCTCTAATTGTGCAACATTGCATTTTAGGTGAAATGGTGCTTTGACATAGCCATTATCAAACGATATTGAGTTTGAGTAGTTTTCGAAATACTGCTGGACTTTATCGTCCGAAGCACAGTCATCGGAAGAAATTCCGAAGCCTTCAAGTTCAAAGAGTTTCTGTAACATTTGACTCTCCGAGCTGTCATGAATGGCCGTCAATCCGAAGGAAATAGGCTGGCTCCCCACCGGACTATCTAACTTGCCGCGACCATAAATTGCTGGCCCGAAAAGGGTTTTTGCAATACGCAATCTTGAAGGGGTGCTCTGTGGAACCTCATCTTCTATAACTAAGTCATAATATCTGTCAAGTCCGACTTATATTTTGGGGAATTGCTGTTCTCCCTGAAACTTTGAGTTTGCGATGCAGATTTGGTGCTGCTCGAGGAAATTGGCGTCTTGCTGAGTTAACTTGACTGAAGAGAATCCTCCAGTTATGACTGGTTTGGTCTGTACAGTAAAGCGCACCTCTTTTCCGTATGCGGTTTGAAATTTCAGAGGCACAGTTGTGCTGTCAAATCGTTCCACGTGTCCTCCGATGCGTGACATTATGCAGGTCTCTGTAGAGAGCTTTGGGAGCTCAAAATCATTTGTTAAGTTTTCTTCAATTATGCTTTTCTGAGTTCCAGTCGAAGAAGAAGAGCACTTTTTCAAATCTTTTGCTTCTGTTATTCCAGAGGTTGCCTTCTGCTGTCATAAGAATCAGTT